GAACTCGGCACGTTGCTGATCTTGGCCGTGCCAATCCAAATCATGTTCTTTGTGTGAGCCACAAGTACATCGCCATAAGTTTAGCGGTATATGAGGACAAGATGTAGCAACTTGTATATAAGAGCCACTGGGATATTTACTGGAGCGGTCAAACTTGATACCGAAATGACAGAGTCTCATTCGTGTAATGCTTAGCTTCAAATCTTCGATAACGTCTTTGATCGGACCCTGTTTCCAGAAATACCCGTAGCGAGGAGGCCGGTATTCGGCTTCTCTCCGCAAGCGAGCGCCGCCGGCGCGCCCGCCTGCCCCCGTCAGCGGCTGTCGTGAGACCACGTTGCCGCTTGACTCGGAGGCGTGCGGTTCGCGGATGGCTCCGCAGGAGTCGCTGGTGTGGCCACGCTCGCAGACAGACTCGGCGGATTGTTCTCAGAAGTGTCAAAGTATTCCGTCCGATCCGTAGCGTGACCCACGATCTCCACGCGGGTTGGCCCCGCAGAGTCCGACGAACCTCCGCCCGTGTAGCTTGGTGGTGGTGGCGGCGACGCGGGTGGCCCCGCTGGATCCTCAGGCGTCCATTTGCTCACCGCCTCCTGGACTGCCCAGAAGATCTTGGACTTCAGGGCAGCCTTCATGTGTGGCCCAGTCCCTTCGGGACCCTGTCGGCACTCCCACCAGCTGTTCAGCGTCCTGTTCACGATCAAACGGGTCGTGTCCTCCAGGAGCTGCTTGTCGATGTGCGGCTCGACGATGTACGTGTCGGTCGTGAAGGTCGTGGACTGTCCCGTCGCGGGTGGCCCCGCTGTTGCTTCAGCGGGTGGCCCCGCATTGACGGGGTCCTCTTCGTTCTCCGTCTCGGTGTAGCCATCTCGACTGCTGCGGATCGTGAAGGTGTTCGTGACCGTGTGGCTCTTGGCCCCGTCGTACAACCCGCAGGGAATCGCGAGATGTCCCGAGGGAGTCTTCTTCTCCTTCAGGACCTTGGCGCCTCTTCCCAGCTTCAGGGTGTAATCACCGCTGGGGAAGATGACCTTCTGGTAGCCCGGCTTCAACACGATGATCGTATCACGTGCCTCCATGGCTCCTAGGCCCCAGATAGCCGGGAGATTGGCACCCGAGCCTTCTGCGATGTTGGAGGCATACTCCTCAATACGGGGGCTCGCCTCGTTGGCATACTGTACCCCGATCTTGAAGTTGCCCATCTTCCGACATATCGCAGCGCCCTCTCCAACACCATTGATGTAGAGGGTCTTGCTCAGGGTGCAGATGGCAGGTCGGTAGTTGAACCTGGCCATTATCTCCTGGAAGGTCCGCGCCGTGTTGGATCCAATGATGTTCACATTAGAACCAATGTCCAGCATGAACGAGATACAGGGCATGCCATCTTCATCAGGAAAGAATGTCCCATTGCGCGCTGCAAGAGCGACCTGTACGCCAGTGTGGTCGATGGTGTGGTACGTGATCTGCGATCCGAGTGTACCCCTCAACAGGCGCTGTTCAAGAACCCATTGACTCATGGTCAGCTCGGTGCACCACATCTGCTCGTACTGGCGGCGCTCCTCCACAGTAATCGGTTCCTGCTGGAGGACCCAATAGTTTGCAGATCGCGTGGACATCCATTCGCCTCCTGGTGGCAGCGTGTCAGTATCGTCACGCGCGTAGGTCAGCCCCTCTGTGTCAATCATGAACGTGGAATGAAACTGGGCTGCCTCTGCGCTCTCAGCGCTTGCCCGGCTTCTGGCGCTGACCGGGCTTGCCACTCGAGAGGTCCTGGTTGATCCAGTTGGCCTCCGAATCCCGCCTCCGCTCCTGCCACTCCGCCTGATGTTGGCCTCCATGGCCCTCAAGAAACCTGGGTTTGGAGGTCCGTTTGCGGGTGGCCCCGCTTGGGCGGCGGGAGCCGCTTCAGCGGGTGGCCCCGCAGCTGGGGGCTCCTGCGCTCGGAGCGTGGACAGGATCGGCATCTGAATGCCTTGCTCTGGCGCTGGCCAGGGGTATGCCTGTGCAGCTGGGGCACGTGCGGATGGCTCCGCCGATAGAGCGACTCGAGCCTCCAGTGCCTCCACTGCTTCGCGTAACCGACGCATTTCTCGGGCATCTGCAACGTGCCTTTCCTGCTGGCGCGCTTGGTCCGACTCAGCGTCGCGCTGTCCAGCATACGGGAAGTGTGCTATCACTATGCCCGGTCCACGGCATACGGCACAGGGGGCCTCATTCGGCGCACCTGGCCGCTGATTGCGGACGTGCTGCTGTGCAACACGGCCCCAGCATATGTCGTGAAAGAAGTGCCCGCGCGCCAGTCTCCACACTGTAGTGCCCATCTCGTAGTTGTCCATGCAGATTGGGCACTGAGTGAAGTTGTAGTCTGAAATGACTGGAGCAGGCACGTCAGGGCGAGTCCGAGCTTGGCGCTCGAAAGTGGTTTCGCCCTCCTGATATGGCGTCGGTGGCGGCCGTCTGTCTGGCCGTTCAGCGGGTGGCCCCGCTTCTGCGGGTGTCCCCGCTTGGGCCTCGCGCTCAATCCTTCTCTGGATCGCGCGTTGTTGGCGCAGCCTGGTGTTGTCACGAGCCTGCTGCCTGGATGCCAGTATCGCTTGCTGCGTGTTGTGCACGTCGCGGATGTAGTCTGGCATGCTGCCCATAGCGGCTGGCACCGCGAGACCAGCTGGCTGAACTATGGTCTCGGGGTCCGTCGGCGTGGGCATGTAGGCGTAGTGTGGCATAGACTGCGCATCGACCGCTCGTGTAAACTGCAAACGAAACATCTCATTAGCTAAGTTCCGAGTGTATTCGTTCGCAGGTGGCCCCGCAATCATAGGAGTGTCATTTATCTGCGCGTAGTACTCAGGGTACATCGGCGCGTCCATGGCCGGCGCCTCTGCTGGACCGTGATTGTCCCATCCGCATATCGGGTGTGATGCTATTCCTGGAATAAACACCTGTCGATATGGATTCGTGGGATCAGCGTTTGGAGCATCTTCAGAAGTCCAACTCCAGAGAGGTCGGAAGTCGCCATGGCTTGTGACGTCTATGTTGCGGTTCCGCAACAGGCTGGGCACTCTTTCAGCTTGTTGTTGCAGAAAAGTAGCCTGTGCTCTTAAGTTAGCTGCCCGACGTTCGTAGTCTGAACCTTGCTGTCCGTCAGCGGGTGGCCCCGCTTGAGCGGGTGGCTCCGCAGGCGTTCGCTCAGCGGGTGACCCCGCAGCCGCTCCTCCTTCACTACCCCTCGGAGTGCCAAAGGGAGTGGTTGCTTGGAGTGCTGCTGCGAGTGCTGGATTTCCGCGAATCGCCTGGAGTCTTTGCCACAAGCTGTTCTCGCTCGTTTCAGACGGCGGAGTCCGGAACGGCGAGCCACCATCGGAGCCGCCCATAGGGACAAACCTCGCACCTCCAGCCTGCTGCGGAGGGCGTTGTGGCTGTGGTCCTAGGACGCCTGGTGGCCCCACAGGAGTGCGCAGGTTCCTCTGCTGTGCGTCTTGGATACCTGTATGCACTGCCCACGGGTCAGCACGATATAGCTGATCGGTCAGTCCAGAAACGTCGGCTGGTGACAGGTAGCTGTTGAGGGCCTGGACCCATGTCTGCTGGTCCGGCCTCCAAGGAGATGCTACCGCGGCTACTGGCGTGACCACTTGCTGCCATGAACCATCCGAGGTGTCTGCCGCGGGTGTCCCCGCTCCTGCGGGTGGCCCCGCCTCAGGCATGACCTCGTCTTCCTGGGCATTTATCATGAGGACTGTCTGTGTGAGGTACGGTCGTGGAGCAACATCTTGCTCGGTCATGGTCAGGTTGAATGGGCGACCGCCCGTCTTAGTCCAGCCCTTTAGGTACATGGCATGATCTTCCATCACACCCAAAGTTCTGTCACACAATTTAAGTGGCAAGTAGTCCTCGGTGCGAATCCTGTCCGCGGGTTGGCCCCGCTTCCGCGATTTGTCATAAGCCAGCGGATTGCTCCAGGCTTCACCGACCCGATATTTTGCAATGCTCACAATCTGGAGGATATGATCGGGCGGTATGCGGCCGTCGTGGCCCCGTGCCATGACGATGTCATTCGCTGACCTCCATAAGGAAAAGCCGCTGGACAACATCTTGCTGATGCTGCAGAAGATAAGCACCTCAGAGTCAGGACGGATGCCCGACTGAATCCTCGGGTCACCCGGGAGGTAGGGGCAGCCGTGAACGAACTGGCGCCCCCCTGCCCCTTAGGGTTGTCCTGTGTGAGGCATGAAAGGCCATTCTCAAGGATGCCCTTAACATGCTCCCACTGTGTCCCGTGGATAAAGTATACTGGGTCATCTGGGTCCTTCATCCATGTCGTGATGGGCTTATAGAGCGACTCTGGGCAGTGGATGCCTGGGCTGCTATGGCCGTTCGTGGCTCTGATGAAATATTGTGGCCTGTGTGCCTTTGGTCGGAATCTTGGAGGTAGCGTCATGCTATCCTCGACGCATTTCATCTGGAGCCTGCCCTTCTGCATGCCATGGTTGTCGATCATCTCAGCAGTTCAGCAAC